TTTTTTTTTTTTTTTTTTTTTTTTTTTTTTTTTTTTTTTTTTCAAAAAATATTCTATCAAGTATTAAATACCACCACTATTCTAGCAGATACGAACTATTCCCGATACGAGTCATAATATTGATAAAATTAATAAATTTGACAAAATTATGGCGAATTATACACGCTGGAATTTATATGAAAATTCGTGTATACTATTGTTATCGCGAAGTCAATGAAAAAAAAAAGGTTGAATCTTAAATTAAATTAAGCTTGTCGTCACTTTCAAAGATATTCCATTATTTGATAATTCAGCGAGATGTGTAATAATGTTAATATAATTTGAAGATAGAATAAAGATCGTTCTGACGTAACCGAGAATGAGTTTAATCGAACGATTGAGCAATTAGAAACTGTCTCTTTTTATTACGTTTCGAGAATGAGTCCATCTGACGCGGAGATTAATTGGGAAGAAACTCCAAAGAATCATTGACCCCTTGGCGACTACCGCTATCAAAGAAATAAATAGATAACACTATTCAAATATAGCAATATCCAGTTGAATACCAGAACAAGCGATTCACGCACAAATATACTTTACAAATTCATTTGCCTCGCATAATTTGTTATTTCATCTCACCTAGTTTTTGCTACTTTTACTTTTACTTGGAACTTAGCCACTTCGCTTCATTTATTATTTTCCAATATATATACTTTCGTAAGATAGGAATCTGTTAAAATATTAATCCAATTAAGAACTGTATCATAAAAAAACACTCGTGCGATTGAAAACTGTCGTTGCCCGCGATAAATACTGAATGTTAAATAGAAAATGTGTCTGACGATTTTTTTAACAAGAGTACAACGGCTCTATACCTAACCTAACCTAAACCAAGGGCGCAGACAGATTACTGAACCAAATACATAATTTTTCTTTCTTCTTTGAAACAACCTAACCAAACCTAACCTAAATCTAACCTAATTTTAGGTCTTTACTTAACTTAAACCAAATACATAATTTTTCTTTTTTCTTTAAAACAGCCTAATCAAACCTAATCTAAACCTAGCCAAATACATAATTTTTCTTTCTTCTTTGAAACAATCTAA